TTAACAAGGGAACAAAATTTTATTTCAATAATCGTCAAAGTAAAGTTAATTTTCGATTCAGAAATAAAAAAATTTTAAAAATAACCTTCTTATGGGCGAAGTGAAATGTGTGTAAATCGGGCACGCAAGTCCGTAATGGAAGAACTCGGCCTCTTGCACCATACCGCTGGTAAAGTACACGGCCTGCATCATGCACCTGGTGGCCAAGATCTTCAGCATCGTGTTAAAGTACGGATTATCCTCCTTGTGAGCAGCCTCGAGAGACTTGGCGAGCTCCTTGCCGCAGCTCGTATCGATCTCAAAGCCCTGATGACGGCCCGCTTTGATGAGAGGATCAAAGTTCGCCTGTGGTGGTTCCGGATGTCTGCGCAGCATGGCGCACTCCGGGAACTCTTCCAGTATCTTCTTGGCCACGGATATGTTGGCCAGCAACATGAACTCCTCGACCATCGAGTTGGTCTCGCGTATTTTCTTGGCCTCGACGTCGATCGGGTCGTGCGTCTCGCTGTCCACTTGGAACCGGATCTCCGGCGAAGCCAGCAACAGAGCTCCGTTCTCCAGTCGTCGTTTCTTCAACTTCTTCGCCAACATATTGAGATTCCTCAAACTCTGGGCGAGCGCGTCGTTCTGCGTCTTGTCGTCGATTTTCAACTGCGCCTGCTCGTAAGTCATAGCCGCGCGAGACCGTATGATCGACTTGAAGTAATCCGTCTTGACGATGTTGGCCTCGTGGTCAATCTCCCAGACGCACGAGAACGCGAACCGCTCCTCCTCGCCTCTCAACGAGCACAGGTTCGAACTCAGCAGCTCTACAAATGGATACAGTAAAAATCACACCTGTACGTATATTTATGTGCTAATAGAAAAAAAAAAAAAAAAAAAATTCAACTTACCAGGTACCATGTCGATGCGCTTGTCCACCAGATAGACGGTAGTGGCGCGCAGGGCGGCCTCCTTGTCGAGGGCAGTACCGGGTCGTATGAAGTGCGACACATCCGCGATGTGCACGCCGACCTCGAGATTGCCGTTCGGCAGGTCGCGGCAGTGCAGGGCGTCGTCGATATCGGTACAACCCGGTGGATCGACCGAGCAGATGTCCAGGTGACGCAGATCGTTACGTTGGGCCACGTCCTGGACAGCAGAAAAGCGCCGAGTGTTGGTTGATTGTGAGATGTTTTTAAAAACATGTGATTGATTAAGAAAAAACAAAAA